TCATCTTAGGGACCCACCTTTCTGCTTTAGCTTGAGTGGGTCTTATCTTGGGAACCCACCTTTCCATTTTAGGTTTAGGAGGAGAGTAGACAGGTGCTTTGTGATTGAAAGGTTGTTTCTTCAACTTAGTTTTGAAAATCTCCTCTTTAGAAAGCCGATTTAGATGTTTCCTTGAATGAACTCTGAGAGAATATTTCATATCAGGAATACAAAACGTTCCCTTAGCAGTTCCTTTCTTGGTTTCTCTTTCGGGTTTGAGCTTTCTAAAAGGCTTTGATTTAACAGCATTCACATCACATTCATAATTGTGGGGGTCTGGAACAGAATAACCATAAGCAATAGTGGAATTATACAAAGAGCCATGTTCAAAAGATGTCACAGAATTTTTCAGCTTGGGACACAAGACTGAACTACTAGAAACTGAATTTACATGGACAGGTTTAGATTTAGTTTTAGAGTACAAAATGGAGCTGGATCTAGGACCAGGCTTATTCTCAAAAACTTTCTTCTTGCCAGCAGCTATTTCCTTTCTCTTCATCTCCCACTCTTTCTTCTCTTCTCCTCTTCTTTTCACTCCTTGTTCTGTGACAAAAGGAGAAGAGTGATGAGTGGCGGATTTTTCAGAAAATTTAGTTTTATCAGAAGAGGTTTGAGCAGTTTTTAAAGCAGAATGATATTTTTCACTTAATTCATCAAATTTGCTTAGTAGTTCTTGCCAGTTGCTTTCAGAAGTTTTCTTTTCAGTTTCAAAACGCTCTCTCTCATTTTCAAGGGTTTTCTGAAGATCTGCATATTTTTGGACCAGTGGAGAGATGCACTTGTCCTGTCCAGACTTAAAAATTCCAGTTTTAGGAGTGGGACCCATTGGACTTTCGTAATATGGAATCCCTTTTGGGACATTAAAAATATCAAACCCCTCCTCGTTGTAGATTACCTTTTCTTTAGAAAGAGCTTTCTCAACCAGAGGAGTATAGTCAAAAGAGGTTTCAATTTTAGGATTACTCCTTTTCTCTACTTCTTCTTTAGTGGTTTCTTCTTCACCCCCAAATTTCATTTTCTTATCAATGTCTAGAGTCAAGTAAGTTGCATCATACAACTGACGGCAGTCAACTTTCTTTAAATGACGCGGGTTCGGTAGTCCAAGACCAGCTTTTGGGTTGTAATGCTGAACGTCGCTTATTCGATTTAGAAAAACTGTGTGTTCGGTTTGACCTCTTCTGACACATACATCCTCAAGTTCCTTTACTTTGCTTAAAAGACTGCTTCTTTTATTTCTTAAAAATTCACAATCAGCTTTAGCTGTGTTTTTCTCAACTTCACTGTCTTGCAGTTTCTTAGTTAGTTCAGCTATTTTAAGTTCAAAGCTTTCAAAGTCTGAGGACACCCTTTTGATTTGATCTTTGGCATTTTCAAGTTGAACGCTTAAGGAAGATTTTTGGTCAAGGTTCTGTTTCAGTACCTTGTAATTATTGTCTAATCTCTCCTGCAGTTCTTTAATGAGGTGGTCCTTATTGTGTAAGGACTGAGTTTGTATAGTGTGAGAGTGATTAGAGGTACTTACAGTGCTTGTAGAGCATTCACTTCCGGGGATCGCAGCATCACCCTTTTTCTCTTCTTCATCCTCCAGCCTTGCCATCAAGGCGAAGTTCTCTTCCTCTTCTTCTTCTTCTTCTTCTTCAGAATCATCTTCCGCCCACTGGACTAGCTCAGCATGTTTGTCAGAGGTTTCTGCTTCCTCCTGTTGTGCTAAGAAGAGCTTTTGTTTATTCATTAGAATCTTCTGTTTGTAGAAGTTTGCATCTCTCTTCTTTGGGAGCCGACAGTCTTTGCTGATGTGTCCAGGCTTCCCGCAGTTATAGCACACAGGGGCATTAGCAGTTGATGTAGCCTTCCTGGCTGAGCTTTGGTCCTGGTTCTTTTGTTTGTAGTTGGAAGAAGAGGTTCGCAGCTTATTTGAAGAGCTGTTTCTCTTGGCAAACTTCTTGGCCAGCAGTGCCATCTTCTTCTGGAGATCTGCAAGCTCAGCTTCAAGATCAGTTCCTTCTTCATCACTCTCATCTTCATCAGATTCAACCTCTACTACTTTCTTCTTCTTCTTCTGCAGAGGTTTCGACGCTCTTTTGGGCTGAGCTTCCATTAGTAGAGCTAGAGGATTTGGGCTTGATTGTTCCTCAGTGCATACAACGTCATTGACGAACTCCTTTAGCAGCTCATTCAAGGTGAAGAGATCAATTTCATCCATGTCAATGCGTTGTCTCAAGTCTTTTACTGTTTTACTCCAATATGGGTGCAGACTGGACAGAAATCTAGTATTCAGTTCCAGGTTGGTTCTGAATATTTTGATTTTCCTCATTTCATTCATCAACTTCACAAGCCTGGCATGAGTCTCGTGAAGAGGTTCTCCAGGAGCAGCCTTGAACGAGTCATAAGCCATCAAAATAGCAGATTTCTTTGTTTTTAGGCTTATGCTCGTGCCTTGGAGTAATTTTTCAATCTCGTCCCACATTTCTTTTGCAGTTTGCATACTGTCAATCATCACATACACTTCATTTGGGATGGCTTGGAGAAGGTATGTTTTGGCCATGAGGTCTCCTCTCAGCCTTAGCTTGTCTGCTTCAGTGTATTCAGAAGGCCTCTTTCGTCTTGTTTCAGGAGGAATGGGTGGATTATTTGTTGAGTTCCCTCCTACGTCAATCATTAGTACAGCTGGTCCTTCCAGGAGTGATTCCAGCATTGCGTCGGAGTTTTCTTTGTGTTCTAGGAAATTCAAGAAACGAGTTCTCCACATTTGGTACTCTCCTTTCCTCAGAGATGGAGGAGTACTGCTGTTTCCTTGCGCATTAGATTCAGAAGCCATTCCTGTTGCTGTAGAAAACTGACCGTTCGAGAAATAAGATCAGAAAATTTACTAAGTCAAGAACTCGAGTTCCTGAGTGTTCAAGGCCTAAACTCGAGGTCTGGGGAACTCGAGATGAGAGTTCGAGTTTGTGAACTCGAGGTCAAGAGTTCGAGTTTCTAAGAACTCGAGGTCTAAACTCGCAGGGTCAAAACTCGTGGTCAGACTGCGAGTTTGCAGGCTGCGAGTTTGTTGAGTGCGAGTTGTTGACCGCGAGTTGTAGGCTGCGAGTTCTTGAGCTCGAGTTTGCAGGCTGCGAGTTTCTCAACTCGAGTTTACAGGCTGCGAGTTTATGCAAAAACACCTGGCTGCGAATTCCTGAAAAAATAAAACTTCAGATTTTCAGAAATACAAATATGGTAGGTTGTAGCCCTTGTAGAGGAGATCCTTTTACCCAAGTTTCAGGTCAAAAAGCTGCACAGAGCTTAGAGAAACGAGGGGTGCGAGTTCAAGGGTGCGAGTTTACTTCTGAAGAAAAATTGAAGAAACGAGAAAGGAAGATATACTGCTTGATCGTCTTTGAAACGCGATTCTAACAGTATAACTTTTACAGTATTCGGTGCAGAAATAAGATTACAGATGATAAACTCGCTATTCTATAAAAACAGAGTCTTTCGCAGATAGTTCTTCTGATCAGCTCTCGATCGGCTCTGATACCAATTGTTATTCCCTGTTTTCTATAACAACAGTATAATATGGCATACAGATGAAAGATTAACAATAAAGATGAACACAGAAAGATCAAGTGAAAACCTTCTCTGATATACCGTGAATCTTTCGTACAAGAATGATAAGCGCTAAGGCTATTTTGAGCAGATACGAAAGTTAACCACAAACCTGAGTCCTCCTCCCTCTTTTATAGGCGAGGCTCAGGTATGCGTACAAAGGCTTCTTGCCTGAGTATGGGCCTAACACTTGGCCCATATTGTATACTATTCTAACAGATATATTTAATCAGTACAGAATAGAAATAGTAAACATCTAACTTATTACAGACAAGACAGACAAACTTGATTCACAATAAATAGTCTTCAACACTTAGTCTTCCAATTAGATATAAATTTCTCAATTTTCTCAATCATCGGAGAATATTGCGCCACGGACACCCTCAATGGAGCCAAAGGAATACCAAGATATCGAACGGGAAACTGCCCTTCCGGAAATCCACCATGCTCAAGATTTCCTCCATACTTTGTCTGTCTATCCGAGCTAAATAGATGCTTGACTTATTGACATTCATTACTAATCCTGAGACTGCTTTGAACTTATCCAAACATTTGAAGAGAGCGAGGAGTACATTTCACCCCTCAAATGACCACATTTACAACAATTTGGACAATTGAGATGTGACATTTACAATCTCATAAATACGGGTCTCATATTTCAATATGGTGACTATTCCAGGAACTAAAAATGCAATTTTCTCTATTAATTACGTAGTACTATCCTCCGTTCCATAAAAGTTGCAACAGTTTGACTTTCACGCTTGCCAACGCACAACTTTGACTGTGATTATATTTATTTACGTATTAGTAAACATTAAAAAAACTTAATATATTGGAAATTTACATTAATACAAATTTATTAATATTTTATACATAATATTTTTATTATATATATTAATAGAAAATTGTAGTCAAAGTAAGGTGTGTGAATAGTGCAGAAATTGCAATGTTGCAACTTTTATGGAACGGAGGAAGTATATAACTTTACTCACCCATCATGTTCTTTAACTGATAAATTTTCCATATTAACATTTTTTCAACATAAATGTACTATTTCCGGGGGTAAATTTCATGTCGACGCGCGATAAGCTTTTGGGTGCGCTTTTTGCCATGCATGTATGGTACATTTTGTAGAAAAGTTATTAATGAAGCCAAACATATTAGTTATAATCTTGATTTGTTAGCAGTAACATTAAAGGACTTGTAATGAATACAAACATAATAAATTAGGCCACTAAATCAAGAAATCTTCACTTCCTTTTCGGATAAATGTAAAATGTTTATGATATCTCACTTTTCATTTGCACCCTTTATACATATGAGCCAAACTACACCAATATACATGTGTGCCTGAAAATGAACTAAATATGATTTAGCAGGTATGTGAATTAGGTGCTGATCTCAGAGCTTCGACGTTTATCATAGAAGGAGCTGAACAGGAAGCCGCTAAGGCTGTGAAAGAAATACTCTATAATCAGTTCGTTGCAAAGAGTGAAGTAGAGGAGTGGGTTAAGGTTGCCATGTCCCTACTAAATATTAACACTCCAAAAGCTCTTTTGGTAGAGAAAAAATCAATCACAATGATGCTACATAATCTTGGAGATGGCCAGAAGAAGACCATTTTGACCTTCTTGCTCCATCTTTTGAGGAAGCACGGGAAACAAATTGTGGAGACATATTCTTCCCAAAAATAATTTAATGATAAGTGAATGCTGCTTATCAAAAAATGAAGATAACGTACTTATCATGCATTTGATTAGTCAAAGGCATTATTTCACTATTTATTTATGTTTAATATATTTTTTATTGCAAAATTCATATAAATCCATTTGGATAAGGTATGACACATTAATAGTACCATAAAACTTGTCTAATACGTACTAGTAGTCTAATAGACATATTATGCCATGTTGGGTGAGTCCTAGCAAGGGTGGAATTTTGTTCACGTGGCTGATTGAGTGATTCACTTAAAAGTACTACGTATATTTCTAGCAATGTAAACTCTCTTAGTAAGTTAAAGGGAAAATTATCAAATAAGCCCTCGTATTATATCGAAAAAATCGATTAGGCCCTCGTACTTTACAAACACTCAATTAAGTCCTCAAACTATTAAAAAACGTTCAGTTAAGCCCTTTCGGTCGGTAAGTAACCGGTTTCCCGGTTAAATGTAATATGTTTCCCGGAAGCCGTTGTTGCTGGAGTTCGAGCACATCGTCACCATCGTCGTCGTTTAACCGGGAAATCGGTTACTTACCCACCAAAAGGGCTTAATTGAACGTTTTTTAATAGTTCGAGGACTTAATTGAGTGTTTGTAAAGTATGAGGGCCTAATCGACTTTTTCGGTATAGTACGGGGGCATATTTGATAGTTTTCCCTAATTAAACGAATTATATTGTTGTAATATTTAAAACATGGTGGTGTTATTATATTCTGTTAAATCCCACCCCGGAAATGTTTGAGTCAACGAAGTGCTATATTAAGACATGAGCTATTCTTCCTATCAGGTTGACCTTTAAGGATGGAACCCCGGGTCTTAACATGGTATCAGAGCCAAACCGATCCATAACCATGGTATGGCCCCCCTTATAAAAAATGACGACAGGATTAAAAAAATGACAATGACGAACCAACAAAAAAATGAATGACGGCATGATCCAGATGAAGAGTCTGGTCGTGACGAGGGATGTTAAATCCCACACCGGAAATGTTTGAGTCAATGAAGTGCTATATTAAGACATGAGATACTCCTCCTATCAGGTTGACTTTTTAGGATGGAACCTCAGTTCTTAACGTATTCCTTTAAATCTGTGATAAATCAAAGATTTAAAGACCTAAATAGAAATAAATGAAAGTTAAATTGCAAATAAAAAAATCAGTATTTTGTGCTGTGTTCGTGTAGGGAAAAACTAATAAAGTTCCTAAGTTTACCAACTCAAAATGCCAACTCGATCGATCGAGCACTAATGATTAATGTCAACCCATTTCTTTTGGGCACAAACTTTAATACTAGCGTATTTAATTTGTGATACAGCCGATACGTACACTAGCATCATGAAACTATACAGTCATCATTTAATTGTTTAAGTACAAATGTCATAATCGAATAATAACTTGGATTTTTCAGGAGCAGTTCAATCTACAACCATAGGACAGGCGGAAAGAGAGCTCGATTTCATCAAGTCCTCGAGAAATGAGACCGGCTTTGTGTACGCGCCGGGTTACACGTCGGTTACACGGTGATCAAATTCTCTGTGTACAGATAATTTGACCGACATTTTATGAAGATAATCGATTTCCACACAAACAAAAATAAAGAGTTGTCTGTATTATAGAAATTTTAGACGAGAATTTTTCATAAAATGTCTTTGATACAGACAATTTTAAATGAGAATTTTAAAATGTCTTGATACAGACAATGTTTTTATTTTTGTCTGTGTGAATATCAGTTTTCTTCATAAAACGGAGGTTATATTGTTGGTACACAGACAATTTGATTGGTGTGTAACCTGTCATGTAAAACTAAGCGTGCAGAAAGGAAAATTTTCTGGATAAATACGCGCAACTTGGAAATTTAAATATCAATAGTGGTACAGTGCTCGATCAAATCATGGAATTGAAGATGCTTCATTCATACGGAGTAATTTTTATTTCGTACTTCGTATAAAATTCATAAAGTACTTTTGATGGAATAGTTTTAACAAGTTGACGCAACAGCAAAATTCATACTCCGTAGTGTTTAAGATTGTTGTTTATAAAAGCAAAATGATTTTAGAAAAAGTGTTTGGTAGTAAAATTTGACTGTGTTTTATGTGAAAATAATGGAAAAAGTTACTCCCTAAGAAACTCTGGTAGATATATTTATATTAAAGATAGTTTAATGTAAACTACAATAGTAAGCCTCTAATAATTCTATTACATCCTCTCAAACTGTGCGGGAGATACAACGCGCAGGTTATCTTTTAAAAAATGAACACGTTGACTAGAGAGACTTTTAGTAAAAATATCTGCCAGCTGCAGATGAGTAGGAACAGGCTTAACAATCAGATCTCCGTGAGCAACCCGTTCCCGAACAAAATGATAGTCAATCTAGATATGTTTACTGCGGGCATGCTGAACAGGATTTGCAGTCAAATAAGAAGCAGAGATATTATCACACAATAAATGTACCGGCTCCGTGATTGGCCAACCAAGCTCAAACAAGACCGATCGGATATGGAGTGTGTCCTGTATTGTGTAAGCAATTGCACGATATTCTGCTTATGTGAAGGACTTCGACACGGTAGGCTACTTCTTAGTCTTCCAAGAAATCAAATTCGGACCCAAGAAGACAGCAAAGCCTGTGGTGGACCGAGAACTATCAAGACAACCTGCCCAATCAGCATCGGAGTAAGCAACTACACAGGTTGGCCGATTAGACTGCTGAAGCCATAGGCCATGATCTCGTGTGCCCTGCAAGTACCTGAAAATTCTTTTGACTATAAAAAGATGAGTGGTACGAGAAGCATGCATGAATGAGCCACTAAGTGTACTGCATAAGTAATATCTGGCCATGTCAAAGTTAAATATTGTAATGCACCAACCATGCTACGATACTCAGTAGAATCAGATAGTAACTCACAATCAGAAAGAGATAGAGTGGTACGGGAAGCTAACGGGGTGCGAACAGGCTTTACGGTATGGAGATGAAAACGGGCTAGAAGATCAGTAATTTTTTACTTATATAAAGTACAATACTAAGCCTCTAATAATTCTATTATTTTAGAATAAAAGTAAAATGCAATATAATGGAAAGCATAGGATGCTAATTAATCCATTCGTCCAATTTTACTTTCCATTTTGGATTGATCTAAAATTAGTGCATGTTTCTTTTTTCGGAAAAATTATGTGGTTTATAACATTTCACTGTATATTAATCAAATTTCAACAATAATCTTTACTTTTTCAATCACTTTATTAATGTACATAAAAGAGGTGGTCGTGATAGTATTAATTAGGAGTTTTATCAATCCAGAAACTGAAAGATAAATGAACTATAAATCCGAAACCTGGAAAATGACGTGTCAATATAGGATGCGATTGAAAACTTTCAATCAAATATCTAAAATTCTAAAATTTTGATTTATTTAAATTTTTATTAATTAAATCTGCTATTTTTTGATGAATTTTTCTTCACAAAAGATTATTAATTCAATAAAATTAAATCACAACTTATGTCCTTTATTGATAGTTTTGAATCAATCATCCGAGTCATATACCGACACATTTCATCTATCTTTGACGTCCTGGATTGATAAAAATCCTAATTAAATAATTATAATTTAACTTCCATTTTGAAAGTTTAAAATATTCTATATACACTTAAAGGATACACCTTTGGGTCTCAAGGCCCCCGGTACTAGTACTAGTTGAGCAGCTCCTATATCATACCTCCGGGTGTACTTATAAACTCGGTTTTTTTGCAATTAATACAAAGTTTGAAGATACTTAATAGGTTGAGGTGCTTCATTGCTTCCTTTTTCTCTGCATGGCGTTCATTTTTAATTCGTATGTTCTTCATTCTTTTTTTTCTTTTGTTTATTCTTCTTTTTTTGTTTGTTTGTATTTCTTCTTCTTCCATTTTTTCTTCTCGTTTTCTCTTTTGTCTTTTTGATTTTTTCTTTTTCCTTTTCTTTTGATTATGAACTTTAATTTTTCTAACTTCAACTTTTCTTTTTCTTTTTTTTTTGCTTCCTTTTTTCATTTTTCTTTTTATATACTTTATGTCTTCCGTTCCTCTAATTTTGAACTCCTACTTCTTTTTATTTTTGAGTAATTTTTTATAAGAGTATTTTTCATACAGTTCTTTCAAAAATTCATATTGAATGATAATTCAGTAAAAACATATACTTCTCTCACTCTTATTTAAAAAGTTTCAACCTTGTAAATAATGATGAGCATATATTATGTAAATTAAATGTGCATTGATGTAATTTTGAAGAATAAACCAAATAAAGTTGGTTGGTCTAAAGTAAGGAATCAATTCTTTTTTATAATCTACGGGTATGAGCATACTGCATACCCAAATTGATATTTAAGCATACTCGAGATTTTGAATGAGCTTTTCAAATTTTCGATGCTCATTTCGTAAATTATTTATGCTCATTTGATATTGGTGTAATGCTCATTTTAAAATGAGCAATACACTAGACAACATAAATGTCTTATCCATGCATATTGGTGTAATTCTCATTTTAAACTTTTTGATACTCATTTCACACGTTATGTATTCACATTTAATATTTGAGCATACTAGAGATCGTAAATGATCTTTCTGAATATTTTTGTGCTCATTTCGTAAGTATGTATACTCATTTGATATTGGTGTAATGCTCATTACAAGTATGAAGAAGTAAGAAAAAGAACCTAATAAGGCCCACAAAAAAGGCCCAATTAAGAAAGACAGTCCATTTAATTAAAACAACCTAATTATTTTTTGTGACATTTTTATAATTTAAGCAAAACATCATGACTTCCACTCAATGAGCAATAATGTACTTTTAGTGAGCATATGACCTATTTTATTGAGTATGATGAGGCTAACATCGAGTATCACGATCTCTGCTTCATATCTTCTAATTCAATTTTTTTTCCTTATTTTTTCTTTTATAAAACTTATTGAACTATATCTATAATACACTCCTAAGAATTTCCATATGCGAATTTAATGTAATATAATACTTTTGAAATATGCATTGATATAACATTATAAAATGAGCATAACATCAGTACCAAATGAGTATACGTAACTTACAAAATGGTCATTGATATGAAAATCGTAAGATATGTTAGTTTAACATAATTAATTAGAAGAAGAATGGAGGTTTTAACAGAAGAGGAAGAAAGGTAAATGTTTTATTAAGTTGTCTTTTAATAAAAATTTTGAGCAGCTAGCAGGGAAATAGAAAAAGAATCTAGTAGGAAATATAAATAATACAAAAAAATGAAGTAGCAGCCTAAAACAGAGAAGCGTACAACACATGAGGATTGAGGAACGTAAATATATATATAAAGGAAATGAAAAAAGAAACAAAAGATAAAAGAAAAGAAATAAGCCGGTCAACGTGATGTTTAAAAGTAAAAGAAGAAGCAACTAACGTCATTAAGATCCTCAACTTTACACATATTTACAAAAGTACCGGATGCACCATTCACATGTACATCCAGATGTACCTTATAATTTGCCCTAGTTGAGAGGGGGGCCGGTGCTAGATAGTTAATGGAGAAAATGTAAATTAAGTTTTAATCATACTAGTTGAGAGGGGTTCTTTCCTAATTTTTCTTAAAATTAATTAAAGTGAGACCTCTCCCACCAGCTCAACTATGTAGGCACCAACACGATGAAAAAGTTTAAAATATACTCCGTATCGTCCTACTTTTCCTTTTTTGATAATGGGTTGCTCGTATTTGGAATGGTATCCCTCAACAAGATAAGAATTTATTTTGCCATTCCTCAACCAAATAACTTAGCTAGAGAAGGGGCTCAAAGAGGATAAACTACATGTCTACGAAACTTTTTTTTATCGATTTATATTAAATAATCAGACCTTGGGCAAGTAACAAAATGACAAAATGTCCTCCCCCAACTCTCAGCTCTTGAATCAGACTCAGAGATAATCATCTTACAAAGAGCAATATGACTCACTGATCTCATAATTAATTAATGTATTTATTAATATTAATTAGGTTGTCTAATTATAGTAGGAATCTTGATGTATCTTGGACTCTTTTATCATAAATAATACTTACGGGACTAGTATGCTCCCATATTATTCTTACATACTATCAAGAGCCCTAGGGTTATAATTTTTTTCCCGCACGCGCGTATGTCGACTGCCGCAGCATCATCGACCACCATGGCAGCGCCTACCATGGTTGCGCCTTCTGCTGCTATCCAGGCCTCCGATCCGCTGCCCCAAGCTCGATGCAGAGCGAGATGTAGCCCTAACCTTCTTCAGCTCGTCGGCTATTTCCATGGTTCTGCCACTCACATTCGGCAATTGGGTTCCGCCAATTTTCATGTGGTCTCCAATGAATCCGATCATTCCGTCTCTGCCACCAGACTCGTCGCACTCGACCATGGACGGCCACAATTTTGAATCGGCGGTATCACCCTTTTCTGCCGCTCCCAGTGGCTCCTTCGCCGGTTCAACGCTCCTTGGCTCCCCCGGACTGTCCGTCATTCCCTAAATCAGTTCCATCAGTACCCGGAATCAAGTATTATCCAGCAACTCTCCCCTGACAGCACTGTCTCAATCGCTGGGTTTTTCCGCCATGAACATCACTAATATAGTTACTACTAAATTAAATGATGTGGAAGACTGTTTACCTTGGCGTACGCAGTTTGAATCCTTTTTGGTGTCTCAAATACACCAAAACACATGGCCCAAACTTCAGAGTCTGACATAATTAACACAAAAACACAACCAACATAACAATCTGACCAACATAAAAAAACTAAAAGAAAATCAAAACTAGTAGAGGTAAACTGCTTCCCCAAAATTAAGAGAAGCTTGATCTTTCTTTCTCGGAGAGAAGACTTTTCCAGAATCTCATGCGAGCCTTGAAGTGTCATCTTTCAAACTCTAGCCATGCGACCACTCTGAGGCGGCGGTTCAGGAGGGAGGCGTACCCTGCCTTTGTGGCTACCCTCAAACCAAAAATCTTGTCTCACTATCCAACCATTAAACTCAAACATTCCCATTACCCACACACCAAATAACAAAGGTAAATGCCGCTCCCACAATTTCGGACACGTTTTGTTCCGAGCGAGAGACGCCGATCTCCATGATTCTCCCTTACCAACTCCAGGGCGGATCCTAACATTTTTTTGTCACGAGTCGAATTTTTGTAAAAGACCTTTGAATAATGTAAAATTTGGATATTAAGATTTGTAAGCAGTAATTTAATTAATATGCCTACATCATATCATTAATCCCACATAGCTGCATGATATTATTTTGATTAATAATTTTTGTATGGTTGTTATTTTAATAAAATAGAAAAAATGTGTGTGTGTGTGTGTATATATATATATATATATATATATATATATATATATATATATATATATATATAATAGTAGAATACAATTATTTATGGTTCGGCCCTCACCAACTCTAACCGCTACAAAACAGTCACCAAGCAATGAACGTAACATAACGTCCACCGAAGAAAACTAAAGCCACACACTTAAAGCGGCAGAAGAAAGACCCTAAGCGAAAGTCGCTAGGAAGAAGGAAAGACCTGCTACAGCGCTCGGGTTGATAGTTGTGATAAGACGCTAAAACTTAAAGAGGGATAAAAAACGAAAGTAAGGAAATTAAAAAGGTATCAAAAAGTAAAGAAAAATAAAAAGTTGCGTTTATTATCTATTCATGTTTTTCTGACCATTACTCAAGTTAGAAACTAAATGATTGAAGTGAACCAAATGTGATGTTGAGCCTTCCTGGGCAGACTATCTTAGAAGGGAATAAAAGTGATTCAATCTAGTCCTATTGACTTTTGGTTCAAGTACCTTTCTTAAAAAAATATCATAGCCTGGATTCTTTCATCAACATATTTTTCCCCTCAAAAGAATGTCTCCTCTTTTTTATATCTTCGTCTGACACCATTTGTTTTATATTATATAAAATTTTCATATATATACTTATCACCATGCCCATAAATTAAAGTTATCACCAGGCCAGGTGCAAAATGTGGGAGGCTAGGTAAAACATATATACACAATGATCAAGATTGCCATGACAATATTATTATATTATATTTTCATATAATAGTATTTCATAATGCTTGAATGAAGAAAAGATCATCCACATTACATGTACTAGGTCCTTGTACAATAATCTTGGTTGTTGCAGTTTGGCAATGGTGTGGGCTTGTGGGGTTGAAACAAAAAAATAGAATTAAAAGAAAAAAGGAAACAAAGGAGACAAAGCCACCTGAAGGTGATGGAGATCCATATACCCAACCACAGCTTTAAGCTAGACTGGCAGCCCATACAGTCAATGTCTCTCTCAATCTCAATCATTTATTGCTTCTTATTATCATAATCAGTTCTCTTTTTAGCTAAATGTTGGGCATTTGCCCTTATCGACATCTACATTTGATTTAACGTAACTAATTAATAATGTGATCTTGTCTCTCATCTCCTTCCTTTCCCAGCTAGGTATTAATATCTGTAATTATGATGAACATAAACAAACATCTTTAACAGAAATTAAGAAAATAAATCAGTGTACGTACGTGTGATCTGGGGATTCTTTGAGCGAGCTCAATCACATGTATGTGTTTAGGCTCGGGTACTTCATGTCTTCATTTTGTACTTGAACGCGGCAATGGGATTTCAGAAAAGAAGTACCGCTATGTAATTAAGGATTTTTTATGTCCGGTATTATACCACCCCATCCCCTTGGAAAAATATGATTGAAAAAAATACCTAAATATGACTAAAACAATGGTAAGATTCGTAAATAGAACTATCATTGTTCTACTTCCAAATTAGGAGGACTCATTCACTCATAGTTTGGAAAGTTTTAAACAAGGTAACTTATTCTTTTAAAAGAATTAAATAAGTCCTATTACGAGAATCTCCATTTATGATCTTAAATAAATGGTTTTTCAATAACACATCATTGTCACATCACATTTATTCAATAAATTTTAAATAATTTCAAATCTTTAAACTTTTCATCAACCATGATACTCAAATAATTAGTTTTTCAAGACCATGCATTAAATGTAATTTAACTACAACTTAAAGTAATTACTCCCCCCGTCCCATATTTATCTTCGTAGTTCGGTTTACGATGCTTGACTGACGATAAAGCAACTTGATCCCTGTTCACACTCAGATTATTTTTAGTAAATTAAATTTACATATTCAGAAACTACATTAAATCCGCTACAAAGTCTGATCAAGAAAATTTAAGTTTGATAAATTTTGATATATAAAGTAAAGGATTAAGAGTAATTTGAGTTGACCATGTGAATAGTAACTATGAAGATAAATATGGGACAGAGGGAGTATTTGGGATCCAAATTTTGATACCAGATTTTCTTTTTCAATAATCTCTCACTCACAATGATAATATTTCAAATAATCTTATACATCATCCAATTAAGCTTTAAATAATCTAATGGATGGGGATGCCCTTAGAGATAAAACATGGAGTGCAAGTTTGGTGGAGGTAGAAGTAGTATCAACAGTAAGATTACTCTTGATGGTAAGGAGATACCGGTGTGTGACATGTTTCACTACTTTGGCTCTATAATTCAGAAGAATGGTGAACTAGAATCAGAGGTGGGTGGATGAAATGGAAGAGTGCATCAGGATTTTTATGCAATTGAGGTATGCTGACTAGACTGAACGTTAAATTTTATCGAACATCAATCAGACCTGCATTAATGTATGGCGTAGAGTGTTGGGAGTTGAAACAATGTCACATTCAAAAGATGAGTGTGGCAGAGATGCATATGTTATGTTGGATGTGTGGACATACCAGAAAAGACCGCTTGAGTAATGAGATAATCTGACAAAAGGTGGGAGTAGCACCTTTAAAAGATAAGATGCATGAGTCTCTTTTGCAGTGGTTCGGGCATGTGCGTATAAGGCCGAGTCATTCACCTGTTAGACGACTTGAGGGATGGGGATCGAGAACAGACAGAGAAGAGAGGGAGGGGAAGACTCAAACAGACTTGGATTAGAGGAATCAGAACTTATATGCGTCTTCTTAGGTTGGATGAGAGAATGTCTTTGGAAAGAGCAAAATGGAGGGTGCACATTCGTGTGGACGATTGCTCTCTTTTCTATTTTTCCCCTCTCATTTTCTTTTATCCTTTATCTTCTTTATCTTTTTATCTATTATCTTTCTTATATTCTTATGTTATTGTTAGATTATATTTATTTATCTTTATCTTATCTGTTTTATCTTACTTTCTTCTTCTTCTTGTTTGTCATCTCTTTTTGGCATCGATATCAGGGATCGATTCATGTTAGCCGACACCAAAATCTTTTGGGATTAAGGCATGGATGTTGTTTATAGAGAGAATAAAACATGATTAGTCATATTTTGAACTTTGTGTATGTTTTCTTAGTCCTATATTGAGCAGTTTCTAAATATTAATCAAGTATCAAATACAGAGTCAGATTATATGAAAGCTATAATATGATCATAGAAATTCTTGAAACAAACGATGATAGCCAGATCCGTGATGGATCAGAGCCAATAGTCTTGGATAAATGAATTGAAAAGACTGAATAGCCTCGCCATTTTGTTGAGGATATTTCATGTTGAGAAAAGAATATACCTCCAATATGCATACATTGTGATTGTTCCGCGGCAACTAGAAGGGTACAAAGCAATATGTATAATTGTAAGAGTAAACATGTTCATCGTAGACATAATACCATTAAAAACATCTCACAATGCGTGTTGTCACGGTTGACTATGTGAAGTCAAAAGATAGCATAGTGGATCAGCTAACCAAGGCATTGGATAAAGAATTGTTTGAAAAGTTGTCGTGAGAAATGGAACTAAAACCCTTGAATTGAAAAGTTTTAAAGTAGATACCTAACCTAGTTGGCCCTAGGTTCAAAAGGGTCAATTAAATTATAGAACAATTGATGGTTTAAAGGGTTCAATTCGATATATGGTGCACTCGAAATGGATAACGGGTGAATGCGAAATTGGTTCTTGAAGTTTGTTTGTGCTTCAGAAATTAAAAAATTCTGAAGGTAGAACTAAACGTAGAACTACAGTCGGTTAATGGATATTTTAATTTTTTGTTCAAGCATTGGTTGACATTCTGTAACCGTAATACATGATTAATGCATGTTTAATTGTGTAGTCAATGGACGGTAACGTTCCATCCCATAAAGACGTGTTTAATGGGCGGTTTCACTACAATAAGCGTGGTAGTAGTGCATGATTAATACAAAGACCCATCCTCCCCTAAATATGTCTGGCAGAACTTTTTGGAAAGTATATTGTCGCATACTCATACAACACACCACTATTCTAGTTCGGCAGAGCAATCTATTGAGTGCTCAGTACGGTTGCTCGTGAGCCATCGTATCCTAGGAAATTGATGTTGTAACGCTCCTAGCACCATGGGAGGTAGCAAATTGGTTTTAATGAAATTTGTGTTGCACAAGCTTTGACTGTACTTGTGCTAGTTCTTTGTTCACTTCATTTGACTATTTTTATATCTTATTTTTCAGAAAAACAAATTGATAACAATTTAAACATGATCACGAAAAACCTCACATGGAATCTAATCAATCTATTAATTCAATTACTTGATTTCTTTCCTTATGAGTAAAATATACTCCACATTTTATAAGGAAATTAAAATATGTGAATCACTTGATTACTTCACATATTCCACATCATTGTTTCTTCCATATTTGTGTTTAAAATTCACTTAAAAGTTAAAATTCAATACTCCGTATGAAAGAACTCATTCGCCCCTCTCTTGTGTATCTCAAATGATTCTACCAAAGTTTTTTTTTCCAAGTAGAGGTACTTTTCAATCTTATTTTCCAATTAGGAGTAATTTTAAACTTATTCCCCAAATAGAGATATTTTTGCATTGTCACTCACAATGTCAACACAATAGCTAGCCACATCCACCTATTTGTTGTCAGCGCAATGTGCACCTCACATATACCTCATCATTAACTCTTTCATATCATCTAGTTTGAGTGTGCTAAAAAAGCACCAAGATTTCTGGTCTAGTGAGAATTGATCCCGACCTAGCACTCACAATATGAGTTCTGCACCGTTGAGCTAACTCATTACAAAGTCTCCCATAGGAACTTGAAGTATGTGGATAATAAGTTTAGGAGCGTACAAGTTCAACTCGTGTATTATTCATTTCTTTAAAAATAAATTACTTCTTCTTTAAATAATTATAAAATATAAAAGCAAACTTAATTTGAGATATTCAATTAAAAATAAATACCTAATTAAAAATATATTTAAAAATTAATTTGGAATGTGTAATTAAAAAATAATAAATAATACTCCTTCCG